AGGTCAGGAAGCAACAGCTAAATCTGGACATGGAACAACACACTGGTTCCAAATCGGGAAAGGAGTACATCAAGGCTGTATATTGTCACCCTGCTTATTTAACTTATATACAGAGTACATCATGGGAAACGCTGGGCTGGATGAAGCACTAGCTGGAATTAAGATTGCTGGGAGAAATATCAATAACCTCAGATATGCAGATGACACCACCCTTATGGCAGAAAGTGAAGAAGAACTAAAGAGCCTCTTGATGAAAGTGAAAGAGGAGAGTGAAAAGTTGGCTTAAAGTTCAATATTCAGAAAACTAAGATCATGTCATCCGGTCCCACTACTTCATGCCAGGTAGATGGGGAAACAGTGGACAAGTGGCTGACTTTATTTTTTTGGGCTCCAAAATCACTGCAGATGGTGGCTGCAGCCATGAAATTAAAAGATGCTTACTCCTTGGAAGGAAAGTTATGACGAACCTAGACAGCATATTAAAAAGCAGAGACATTACTTTGCCAACAAAGGTCCATCTAGTCAAGGCTGTGGTTTTTCCAGTGGTCGTGTATGTATGTGAGTGTTAGACTATAAAGAAAGCTGAGTGCGGAAGAATTGATGCTTTTGAACTGTGGTGTTAGAGAAGACTCTTGAGAGTCCCTTTGACTGCAAGGAGATCCAACCAGTCCATCCTAAAGATCAGTCCTGGGTGTTCATTGGAAGGACTGATGCTGAAGCTGAAACTCCAATACTTTGGTCACCTGATGAGAAGAGCTGACTCATTTGAAAAGACCCTAATGCTTGGAAAGATTAAGGGCAGGAGGAGAAGGGGACGACAGAGGATGAGATGGTTGGATGGCATCACCGACTCAACAGATATGAGTTTGGGTAAGCTCCGGGAGTTGGTGATAAACAGGGAGGCCTGATGTGCTGTGGTCCATGGGGTCACAAAGAGTTGGACACGACTAAGCAACTGAACTGAACTGAAGTTTCACAGCAAAACTGAGATTAAGCTAAAGCAATTTCCTCTATGCCCTCTACTCCCACAAATACATAGTCTCATACAGCTCAATATAAAAAAAATCAAACAACCTGATTAAAAAATGGGCAGAAAACCTGATTAGACATTTTTCCAAAGAAGACATTCAGATGGTTAACAGGCACGTGAAAAGATGCTCAACATTGCTGATTATTAGAGGAATGCAAATCAAAATCACAATGAGCTATCACCTCACACTTGTCAGAATGGCCATCATCAAAAATCTCCAAATAACAAATGTTAGCGAGAATGTGAGAAAAGGGAACGTTTGTACTTTCTTGGTGAGGGGATATGAATTGGTGTAGCCATTATAGAAAATGGCCTAGAGGTTCCTCAAAAAACTGAAAATAGAACTACTATATGATCCAGCAATTTCACACTTTGATGAATATCTGAAGAAAATGAAAACAGTAATTTGAAAAGATCCATGTACCTCAATGTACATACCTGCACTGCTTACAATAGAAGTAACCCAAGTGTCCATCAATACTTAATAAAGATGAGATTTTGTTGTTGTTCAGTCGCTCAGTCCTGTCTGACTCTTTGCGACCCCATGGACTGAAAATGTGATAGATAGATAGATATATAACATATATCACATATACGTGTGTGTATCAGTGTGTATATGTGTATATATCATATATATACATATGTGTGCATATTTGTCTATTCTTGGAAAATAGTCTTATTGCACTAGCCAGAATTTCCGCTGTGTAAAAAAGGAGTAGTGAGAGGGGACATCATTGCCTTTTATGGACTTTTCTCAAATCAGACCTAGAAAAGAGGATAGATGCCTCTCTGGAGATATATGGATCAGCAGCTTTGTTTCACATTCTGAAAAGTCAGAAATGGTGCCCATCCACAATGAGAAGCACTAACAGGATCCTGACTAAGAAGAATAGAAAATTTGTTTTCCAAATCAAGAAACTTTTGAGAGTGAAAGTAGTGTTATTAATATTTAAACCAAGAGGAGAACTGGCATAAACTGGGATGTCTTGAAAAAACTCAGATGTATGTTCCCCTTAGCTCTTGCTATAAACAGAGAGAACAATGAGAGGAATCATGGCTATTCTTACCTATTTTTTTAATGTATTCAGTATTTCAATATTGCAGAGGCTGGTTTTGAAAAAGAATAATATTCACTTTAATTGCTGTTCAGTTCAGTCGCTCAGTTGTGTCCGACTCCTTGTGACCCCATGGACCACAGCACGTCAGGCCTCCCTGTTTATCACCAACTCCCGGACTCCACCCAAACTCATGTCCGTTGAGTCAGTGATGCCATCCAACCATCTCATCCTCTGTCGTCCCCTTCTCCTCCTGCCCTTAATCTTTCCAAGCATTAGGGTCTTTTCAAATGAGTCAGCTCTTCTCATCAGGTGACCAAAGTATTGGAGTTTCAGCTTCAGCATCAGTCCTTCCAATGAACACCCAGGACTGATCTTTAGGATGGACTGGTTGGATCTCCTTGCAGTCCAAGGGACTCTCAAGAGTCTTCTCCAACACCACAGTTCAAAAGCATCAATTCTTCAGCGCTCAGCTTTCTTTATAGTCCAACTCTCACATCCATACATGACTACTGGAAAAACCATAGCTTTTACTAGATGGACCTTTGTTGGCAAAGTAATGTCTCTGCTTTTTAATATGCTGTCTAGGTTCGTCATAACTTTCCTTCCAAGGAGTAAGCATCTTTTAATTTCATGGCTGCAGCCACCATCTGCAGTGATTTTGGAGCCCAAAAAAATAAAGTCAGCCACTTGTCCACTGTTTCCCCATCTACCTGGCATGAAGTAGTGGGACCGGATGACATGATCTTAGTTTTCTGAATGTTGAGCTATACTGTTAATCAAACAATTAATATAGCAAACGTTAAAAACAACAGCAATAACATGTTTTATTGCACTTGGCTTTACCGTACTTCACACATGTTGCATTTTTTTACAAATTGAAAGTTCGTGGTAACCCTGAGTCAAACAAATCTATCAGTGCCATTTTTCCAACAGCATTTGCTCACTTCCTCTCTCTGTGTCACATTTTGGTCATTTTCACAATATTTCAAATTTTTTATTATTGTTATATTTGTTATGGTGATCTGTGATCAGTGACTTTTTATGTTATTATCATAATTGTTTGGGAGCACCACAAACATGGCCATAAATGAAAACAAACTTAGTCAATAAATGCTATATATTCTGACTTCTCCACCAACTGACCATTCCCCTATCTCTCTCACTCTCCTGGGGTCCCTGAGACACAACAATATTGAAATTAGGCCAATTAGTAATCCTCCAATGGCTCACTGAGCACTTGTTCTAGTGAAGAGAAGAGTTGCTATCTTTCACTTTAAATCAAAAGCTAGAAATGATTATGCTTAATAAGGAAGATATGTTGAGAGCAGGTAAGCCAAGATTTAGGCTTTTCGTGCCAAAGAATCAGTCAAGTTGTGAGTGCAAAGGAAAAGTTCTAGAAAGCACTGATATGCTACTCCAATGAATTCATGAATGATAAGGAAGTAAATCTGCTTTATTGCTAATACAGAGAAAGTTTGAGTGGTCTGGATAGAGGATCAAACCAGCCACAACATTTCTTTAAGCCAAAGCCTAATCCAGAGCAAGGCCCTAACTCCCTCTAATTCTATGAGAGCTGAGAAAGATAAGGAAGCTGCAGAAGAGTTTGAAGCAAGCAGAGGTTGGTTCATGAGGTTTAAGCGAAGAAGCCATTTTCAGAATAGAATATGTAAAGTACGGCACCAAATGCTGATGTAGAAGCCGCAGCAAGTTACCCAGAAGATCTAAGATGATTAATGAAGGTGGCTACACTAAACAGCAGATTTTCAGTGTAGATGAAACAACTTTATGTTGGAATAATATGCCGTCTAGGATTTTCATAGCTAGAGAGAAGTCAATATCTGGCTTCAAAAAACAGGCTGGCTCCATTTTTTGGAGCTGATGCAGCCGGTAATTTTTACTGAACTCAATGCTCTTTTACTATTATGAAAATTACAGGGCCTTTAAGAATTATGCTAAATCTACTCTGCCTGTGTTCTTTAAGTAGAAGAACAAAACGTGGATGAGAGCACATCCGTTTACAACATGGCTTACTGAATATTTCAGGTCCACTGTTGAGACCCATTGCTCAGGAAGAGGATTCCTTTCAAAATATTACTGCTCATTGACGATGCACCTGCTCACCCAAGAGCTCTGATGGAAATGTCCAGTGCTGCAGATTAATGTTGTTTTTATACCTGACCACACAGCATCCATTCTGCAGCTCATGGATCAAGGAGTAATTTAGACTTTTGAGACTTATTATATAAGCTATCTGTTTCATAAGGCTATAGCTGCTAGAGACAATGATTCATCTGATGGATTTGGGCAAAATCAATTTAAAACCTCTGTAAAAGATTCACCATACTAGATGGTATTAAGAATATATGTGGGAGCCGGAAGTGGGTGTCCCAACCCACCATCCCCGGCAAGATGTAGAGGAGGCGGGTGGTGGTCACTGCTGTGGTTTTGCCCTAGTGCTCAGTGGAGGTGACTGCGGCGCCTGCAGCCCAGGGTGTGGCAGGGACGACCCCTGATTCCCGGGGACCACCGGCTATTCGAGCCCCACTAGGCCCACGCTCACCAAGGCAGGGGACCGGAAAAGCATGGTCCCAGACGAGGGCCACCGGGCTGGGTGAGGAAGGGTGAGCGAGGGGAAAACAGAAGGAAGGGAAAGTGCGGGTGGCTGTGAGGTGCCATCAGCTTCAGGCGCCGTGTGGGTCTGGTCCGAAGATAAAGCCTGGTGGATCCTTTACAAAAGAAGAAGAATATTTATTTCTTAAAGTGTGAAGTTGTACAGGAGTATATAGAATTTAAGTCTTCTCTCAGAAGTTAAAGAAGAAGACAGCCAACCAAAGGTCATCCAAAATTGTGACTGGCTGATAATCCCAGGACAAAATTACAGATTACTACTCAAGCATAAGGCCTCCAGGAAGATGTTTGATTTAAAGGCTTGGGCTGACTATGATGTGGAATGGGATGCAAAGGACCCATGTGGCTTCCTTATAATAGTTATTTTGGCTCTGACTCCATTGTTTCTAGCAAGTGCTGTGATGTCTTGGAAATTGGCCAAGATGATTGAGGCCGGAGAAAAGGAGCAAAAGAAGAAACAAAAACATCAAGAAAATATTGCAAAAGCTAAACGACTGAAAAAAAGATTGAAGGGATGAACAGGCTGTGCATCCAGAGGAAAATTGTTTGGAAAATTATGCATCTTTGAAAGGACCCATTAAGGTTTCGTTTGGGATCTTATGACAGTATTACTAAACAAAGTCTGAGTCTATGGAAGAATCATGTCAGTTCTCACTTGTACTGTGGCAACTTTTCGGCTTCAGTATAGAAGTCTGTTGACAGTTACTGTAAACTGGCATTTATTATGCTACAAATTCTTATAACTGACTTTCACTTGTCTTTTTGCAGCTTGTGAATGAATATCAAAATGAAAACATCCTGTGAAGAAAAGTGGTTTTAGATTATGAACTCTATTCAAATAATGGCTTAAAATGGGGTCCTGTTTTAGACAAAGGAGATTAAGAATGTAAAAATCAGAGTTGTTCTGAGCAGAAAAGAATGCTTTGGCTTAAAAGATATATGGTGTATTAACTACATCTCTTATCATTATTACTTATTTCTTGGGATAGAATCATTTCTGATTTCCTCAAAGCAAAATAATATTATTCAATGAGTACCTCTCTATTTTCTGTATTTTTCTCATTTTAGCTTTTGAGATACTGGTAATTACCAGATATTCTGCATTTTTAAAAATCTAATTTTAGAAAGAATTTTCTTGTTATCTTGACTATGTAGAATACCATCTACTGGATATAATAATTTTTGTACTTATGAACACTGCCATTTTCTTAAAGATGACTTGAGTAGAGTAATACTACTCAACGATTTAAACCTTAAGAGTAAAAATGCCAAACCTTGTAGTACCTTGGAACCAGTTTATTCTCACTTGTGCTAAGTAGAAATGTGAAGTAGTTAAAATGTCTTATCAGATAATTTGCTGATCATATAGATACCACTTTTGTTTTTTATTCCATTCTTTGTATTAATTCATGTGGTAGTGATGTCCTTTACTTTTTGATCAGACAGATGCACGGTGAAAATTAAAATTTCAACTTTCTTTTAAGGAACTTTTAAAGAGTTACAGTTATGTCATATGTCATAAATGATAAAGAAAGTCTTCACATTTGGAAAAATTTTGTTTACATCATCTTAATTGGGTGAAAAAGGTGTAAATTATGTCAAAATGAGAATGCTATAATTAGAAATAAAGAGATAAAGGATATTTCCTTCAAAAAAAACCAAAAAAAAAAGAATATTGGTGATTCCTGGGAAGAGCTCAAAATATCAGCTTTAATAGGAATTTGGAAGAAGTGGACTATAACCATCACGGATGACTCAAGACTACAAACATCAAGGAAGATTCAAGACTTCAACAAAGGAAGTAACTGCAGATGTGGTGGCAATAGCAAGAGAACTAGAATTAGAAGTGGAGCCTAAAGCTGTGACAGAGTTGCTTCAACCTCATGATAAAACTTTAACGGATAAAGAGTTGTTCCTTATGGATGAGCAAAGAAAGTGGAAGCTACTCCTGGTGAGGCTACTGAAATGACAAAAAAGACTTAGATTATTACACAAACTTAGTTGATAAAGCAGTGGCAGAGTTTGAGAGGACAGACTCCAATTCTGAAAGAATTTCTTCTGTTAATAAAATGTCATTAAACATCACTGCAGGTAATGATAACCCTATATGCAAAACAGAAAAAGAGACTCAGATGTATAGAACAGACTTGTGGACTCTGGGAGAAGGCGAGGGTGGGATGTTTCAAGAGAACAGCATCAAAACATGTATATTATCTAGGGTGAAACAGATCACCAGCCCAGGTTGGGTGCATGAGACAAGTGCTCGGGCCTGGTGCACTGGGAAGACCCAGAGGGATCAGGTGGAGAGGGAGGTGGGAGGGGGGACCGGGATGGGGAATACATGTAAATCCATGGCTAATTCATTTCAATGTATGACAAAAACCACTGCAATGATGTAAAGTAATTAGCCCCCAACTAATAAAAATAAATGGAAAAAAAAAAACAGAAAAAAATAAATAAATAAACATCACTGCATGTTACAGCGAAATTGCTCATGAAAAGAAGAATTAATCAACATGGCAAACTTCATTATTGTCTTATTTTAAGAAATTGCCACAGTCACCCCAACCTTCAGCAACCACTGCCCTGATTGTTCGGCAGCCTTCAACATTGAGGCGAGATCCTCCATCAGAAAAATTTTTGAGTCACTGAAGGTTCAGATGATGACTAGCATCTTTTAACAGTAAAGTACTTTTAATGAAAGTATGTGCAGTTTTTTAGACATAATGTTATTGAACATGTAATAAACTTACAGGATAGTGGAAACATGACTTCTACCTGCACTGGGAAATAAAAAACTTCATGTGACTTGCTTTACTGTACGTTTGCTTTATTGCAGTGATCTGGAACCAAACCACAGTATCTCCAAGGTCTGCCCGTAGTGCAGTTGACATAGAGCTGGGCTGCCCAGATGCCACTTGAAAAAGGACTTGTCAGCAGAAAGCCCTCAAACATCAGTTCTCTTAGGGATTCCTTGAGTGGCAGAGAGTAATGCCATTCCCAGGGGTACTCAGGGTCACACCATCCCCTGGGTGATCCACAGTAACAATAACTAGCAGGATATAAAAGCCTGTCCACTTTTGCTTGCATTGCCAGCTGTAGCAGACGAAAATACAAGACAGCCAGTTAAATCTGAATTTCAGATAAATAATGAATCATTTTTAGTAGAAGCATGTCCCATTCGAATTTGCATCTGATATTCAAATCTGACTATGTGTCCTGTATTTTATCTGACAGCCATAATATACCCGCATGCAGTAAAGCTCGGATGAGCCGTCTGCACTCCAGAACCCTCAGTGGGGTGTGCCAACGCAGCTCTTAGGTCACCTCGCCTTCTCCCTTTGCTTCCCTCCTCCCCAACTCTTCCACGGGGCATTGATCCTAATGCCCTTCCATAAAAAACATCCTGTATGCCAAACTCCATCTTCATGTCTGCTTAGCCAGAGACCCCAACCCACAACAGATGAGACAACCAGCTGCCTTCTGTCCAACTTTTGACAAAGGATGATCATAAAAGTAATACCACAAAAGTTCTCCTAAGTCTAAAATGACAGAAGAAAATAATTGCTAAGTAAATGTTTAACTGATGGCTAATTTTTTAAGTCTTAAAAAAACTTACTTAGAATAATATTAATTAATAAAGTTAATAATAATAATAAATTAATAAAATCAATCATTATATTTACATTTTTGCAAGTTGCATTCCTGTCTGTCTCTTTTTTAAAAAGTTGTTCTGTGTTAACTGCTTTTTAAAAATTTTATTTATTTGTATACTTTTGACTGTGCTGGGTCTTCACTGCTGCATGGGCTTTTCTCTAGTTGCGGAGAGTGGGACCTACTCTTCGTTGCAGTGTACAGGTTTCTCATTACGGTGGCTTCTCTTGTTGCAGAGCACAGGTTCTAGGGCATACAGGCTTCAGCAGTTGTGGCTCCCAGGCTCCAAAGCACAGGCTCAGTAGTTGTGGTGCATGGGCTTAGTTGCTCCACGTCATGTGGGATCTTCCCAGACCAAGGATCCAACCTGTGTCATCTGAATTGGCAGGAGAATTCTTTACCATTGAGCCAGCAGGGACACCTTCTTGTCTGTCTCTTGAGAAGATCTTTGAATTTTCATATCTGTTTCTGCATTTAAGTTGCTATTATTAAATAGTTCAGTTCAGTCTCTCAGTCATGTCCAACTCTTTATGACCCCATGGACTGCAGCATGCCAGTCTTCCCTGTTCATCACCAACTCCCAGAGCTAACTCAAACTCACGAGTTGGTGATGCCATCCAACCACCTCATCCTCGGTCATCCCCTTCTCCTCCTCTGATCTTTCCCAGCATCGGGGTCTTTTCAAATGAGTCAGTTCTTCATATCAGGTGGCCAAAGTATTGGAATTTCAGCTTCAACATCAGTCCTTCCAATGAGCACTCAAGACTGATCTCCTTTAAGATGGACTGGTTGGATCTCCTTGCAGTCCAAGGAACTCTCAAGAGTCTTCTCCAACACCACAGTTCAAAAGCATCAGTTCTTCGGCACTCAGCTTTCTTTATAGTCCAACTCTCACATCCATACATGACCACTGGAAAAACCCTAGCTTTGACTAGACGGACCTTTGTTGGCAAAATAATGTCTCTGTTTTTTAATATGTTGTCTACATTGGTCATAACTTTTCTTCCAAGGAGCAAGCGTCTTTTAATTTTAGTCACCATCTGCAGTGATTCTGGAGCCCCCAAAATTAAAGTCTTTCACTGTTTCCACTGTTTCCCCATCTATTTGGCATGAAATGATGGGACTGGATGCCATGATCTTAGTTTTCTGAATGTTGAGTTTTAAGCCAACTTTTTCACTTTCCTTTTTCAGTTTCATCAAGAGGCTCTTTAGTTCTTCTTCACTTTCTGCCAGAAGGGTGGTGTCATCTGCATATCTGAAGTTATTGATATTTCTCCCAGGAATCTTGATTCCAGCATGAGCTTCAGGATATGAAAAAATTCAGCCTCACACAATGAGTGCATATGAGTACTTTCATAACCATTTTAGATAATTATGGATTTTTGCCTTTGCTAATAAACTTAAACTACATGAGTGTTGGTTTTCAAAAGGTTAGTTGCAATGTAGAACCTAAAACTCTATCACTGAATATTGTTGTACTCTGTTACATTAAAACACATAGGTCTGTCTTGCACATTTAATTGATGGCTATTTTAACCAGCATGTGCACTTTAGATGGATGGTATTTGTGACAGAGTTAGAAATTTGCCAGACTTTATATAAACTATGCTATATTTGAGCCTTTGTGTAATCAACATGTATAAACATTCCTTTCCAATTTATTGGACTTACTGTTAATAGATTTTAAAGAGGAAATGCTGGTAGTTTGTTTTGATTTATTTAATATGATTGCATGTTTTAAGTGAAGAAGGCAACCCTCAATTACAACATTCTTTGGGGAGTACGCAATCTATTTTGTGGTGATTTGCTATATTGAAGGGCTGATAAATAATGCATCTTGGCAAAAACCAGGAACTGGTAAGAG